TGCTGCTTCTCCTGGTGGTGGCTGCAGTGTCTCTCCTCAGCCTTCTGCTTCCCAGAATTCTCCTCTCTCCTTGTCCCACCTACTTCCTGCCTGGCCACCTACTTCCTGCCTGGTCACTGGCCATCAGTGTTTTATTTATATAGAACGATATCCACAGCATTAAAAAACAAAACTCTCATCTATTTTTTCTTAATATTTTAATTCTTTTTCTAATTATAAAAAAAGGCATACAGATTACTTAAAAATTGGGAAGTTGTATTTCTCAATGAAGCAGAAAATGAAGCTTAGGATTATTAAGATACAAAAGGTCTCCTGTTTTGTGTAATTGTTCCTAGGGTTTTTTTTTTTTCTTTCTATTTTTGGTGTGTGTTTTTGTGTATTGGGTGTGTTGTATGTACTTTTAAAATATAGTGTACAGTGTGCCTTTGAGTGTTTGTGTGCATGCTTGTGTGTTTTATGTACATTTTTATGTAGTGCATATATGTACACACATGTTGAGGCAAGAGGTACGGGGGCTATCTCCTCTATTGCTCTCACTCTGCCTTTATTTTCTGAGCTAGAAACTCACTGAACCAAAGCTCATGAGCTTCCTCCTGTCCTCCCCCAGTGCTACGTTTACAGGTGCTGTGCCTGGCTTTTTATGTGTCTTCTGGGGATCCAGACTCAGGCTCATGTTCCCTGTCCTATCCCTAGTCTTTCAATTTAGTCTTAAATACTAACAGATTTTATTAGAGAAGTCATGGAAAACATGAAAAAAAAAATGCCATCCATAATCTTCATTATCTAGGATTAACTACCATTAGTATTTGGATGGATTTGATTTTTGTTTTCATATCTCAATAATTACATTAAAATTTAGGCAACAGTATTTTAGTTGTTTTTTTTTCTTTCATTAAGAATTATATTGGGAGCATTTGCCACTATCATTATGGGATCTTAAAAATGTGAAAGATGAGGCTTTATTAGATTATTAAAAAAAAACACTTAAGGGGATTTAGGCAGTAGGATTTTATTTAAGAATGATTTGGGGGATGGGGCTCGAGAAATGGCTCAGCAATTAGGAGCATTGGCTGCTCTTCCAAACGACCCAGGTTCAATTTCTAGCACCTCAACATGGCAGCTCAAGCTATCTCTAACTCCAGTTCCAGGGTGTCTGACACACTCACACAGACCTACATACGTGCAAAACCACCAATGCACATACAATTAAAAAAATAAATAATAAATGCTTTGGGGACTAGGAGGGGCAGAGCTCTACCATCATACCCCGGACTTCAGTGGCTCTGCTGTTTTTCTCTGTACTGTCTTTTGCTCCCTGGTCTAATGCCCTGTCATGGTGATTTGTGTGCTTGATCATTCCAGCTTCTGCTGTTGTAGTGTGAACTGCTGACTACTTCTCCTTCACTTGACAATTTCTGCTTTCTACTGTTTGCTCTTTATTCTTGACTATCTGGCTTCCCAATTTCACTATATCTTGACTTAAACTCAAGTCCTTTTTGTGTATTTCAGCCCTTACCCATGAAACCATCTATTTAATGTCTTATATTCAGATAGGACAAGAGAAAAAGAAAACCTGTCTGAGTTGCACAGCCCTGTTGGGTCCTACCTAGGCAGTCCTAGGCTTAAGTGATCTTAAAGCAAATGCCCATTTGTGTCCTCACTGTCCAGAATACAGAGGTCCTAGTCAGTTGTACAAGAACTAGGCTTGCTTCTTGTCTAGTGTATGTGGTTTTAGCTGTACATTATTAGATGTGGTATAATTAATATTGTAAAATGCTTCTATCAATTTTCATTCTTAAGAATAGCACTACAACTTGGAAACAAGATAAATAAACATTGAATAAATATTTTTGGTTAAGAGTGAAATAAATTGAAGCAATTGGATTCTTGTAATTGGTATTTAAAAGACAAAATGCACTGAGTTCAAAACAGTGAAAGCTAGAAAATTTGCTGTCTGATTAAAATATGCTTTGATGCTTTTAAGGTATGTGTGATAGCTCAAATGAAGTAACCCATCTATTCTTTTACTTATATATTGCTGGTTATTTAACATTGTCCCTCATTACATAAGTTTTGATTCCACTGGAAAAATCATTGCATGCTATACTTTGTTGCTTATTATGATGATTTTGTCTTAGACCTTCATTCTGTCTTAGACACTCTGTGGAGGGGGTCTACATTCTGTTCCCCCAACCTTTAAGTTGGGTAGTTCAAGCTTTTATGCTGTTCCCACAGTGTCATATAATAACATGTCTTTTCTTTTTTGAGAACAGATTTGGACTGAGCAACAAATTTGAATCAGAATTCCCTTCTTCATTAACTGGAAAAGTGAGTATCTCTTTCTTTCATTTTTTGGTTTTCAAGACAGGGTTTCTCTGTGTAGCCCAGACTGGCCTCGAACTCAGAGATTGCCTACTTCTGCCTCCCAAGTGCTGGGATTAAAGGTGTGCACTACCACAGCCTGGCGAGTGTCTCTTTTATTGACCTACTGTTTATACATCTCAAATTAGTTTTCCTTAGAAATTAGAAAAATGTGTGCTGAGACTCCTTTATCGTCATTCAGCATCTCAGTTACATTTCTTACTTCCCTTCAGGTAGCTCCCGAAGAATTCAAAGCCAGCATCAACAGAGTTAACAGCTGTCTTAGGAAGAATCTTCCTGTTAATGTGCGGTGGTTGCTCTGTGGCTGCCTGTGTTGCTGCTGCACATTAGGCTGCAGTATGTGGCCAGTTATTTGCCTCAGTAAAAGAGTAAGTTGAATTACATCTTTTAATTTACTGTAGAAGTGTAAACAAGTCTTATTTTTATCTTTTTTTCCCTCTGTTGAATGAACCACACTGTTCTGAATATTATACAAAAATAATCTTATCTGGTAAAGCAAGATTGATTAGTTAAGTAAATGATCATATATCCAAATGTTATACACTAGCTATGTAGAAGGTGTCCATAATTTGTGTGCATTAGAAATTATGGTCAAGAAGAATGCAGTTCTATATCTGTGTGTACATTCATTGTGGACTAGGGTGGTGCAGTGTGCAGGCTACTGGGTCAGCTTTACCACTTAGCTGTGTGTCTGTGGACGTATTTCTTAACCTCTTCAGTCTGGTGGAGACGACTGTAAAGTGATAATACCTACCTAGGATTTGAGTAGAATTGTTGTAAGGATACAATGAAATCTTATTTTTAAAGCTCTTAGCCGAACAGTGTATGAGAAATTCTGTCAGCTTCAGTGTTGTTTCAAATACTCAAGAGAAACTGTTTAAAGGAGGAAATCTAGACTTTGGCTCATGGTTTTAGAGATTTTAGTCCATGGACTGCCATGCTAGCTCTATTACTTCTCTGCTTGTCCAAGCAGAAATGTCACAGTGGCCGAGCAGAGCTGCTTGCCTTACAGTTGCCAGGTATCAGAGAGGGAAGAAGGGGATTGGAACAAGATGTAGTCCCTGAGAACAGACCCCTACCCATTCCACTAGGTCCCATCTCTAGACACTTGAAACACCTCCCAAAAGTCCATCATAATAAGAATCCATGAGTGGTTTAATCCATTGATTAGGTCATATTCCTTATGATCCAAATCACCTTTCAGTGTACAGGGTCTCCCAAGCAAGTGCTCTAGCATTGGTTAAGCTATAGCCACAGCTCTCTGTATACTTTTTAAGATTTTACTTTATGTATGTGAGTGTTTTGGCTGTGTGTATTATATGCACCATTTGTGTCCTGGTGTCTGTGGAGATGAGAAGAGGTCGTCAGATTCCCTGGCACTAGAGTTACAGGTGCTCATGAGCCTCCATGCAAGAGCTGGAAATTGAACCCTGGTTCTCTGCAAGAGCAATTTTCCCAACCACTAAGTCACCTCTCTAGTCCCTAACACAGGGACTTTAGGCGTGTGTTGTTAGAAGTTGTCATAATAGAAGTTGTCAGTAAGGATGTAGTATGAGAGTACCCATAAAGGAAAGAAGATGATTATGGTAAGATAATAGGAAACTCATTTTAATTTTGTACTTTATAGATTCTCTATAATGAATATACACTGACTCTGATTAGGAAAAATAATTCAAAGACTTGATTTTCACTGCTTATAATGAAAAGATTCCAAGATGTTGGTTATAGATATGCCAAAATAATGCAAATTAGGGGGGTTGGAGAGATGGCTCAGAGGTTAAGAGCACTGACTGCTCTTCCAGAGGTCCTGAGTTCATTTCCCAGCACCCACATGGTGGCTGTAATGAGATCTGGCACCCTCTTCTGTGTACATAATAAATAAATAAACCTTTAAAAAATAATGCAAATTAAAAGTTGTTTATTATTTTTTTTATTTCTTTAAGACATTGTCTTACTCTGTAGACTTGATTGGCCTGGAACTCACTATATAGATCAGGCTAGCCTTGAACTAAGAGATCTGCCTGCCTTTGCCTCCCAAATGCTCTAGGCATGTACCACCATGCCCAACATAGCACCCTTGTTGTTATCTTAAAAAATAACATATATTTACACATATGAAAGTGAAGTAATATTTAGCCATATGTGGTAACTCCCGTCTGAAATCTCAGCACTCAAGAGGCTGGGACAGGAGGATTGTGAATGCCATGATGTAGTAAGTTAAGGCCAGCCTGGAAAACCAAAAGTGGGTCAGGGAATGGGAGGGCCAGTCAACCAAGTTGTCTTGAGTGGTTTTCTATGGAAACATTTCATTTTGGTGGCAAATAATGGTAAGGAAATGAAAGAAATCACATAGAATTTATTACTTGATTTCCATTATAAAGTTAGGGATATACTCTACTGAAAAATTTGAGCTAATATATGTTATTGATAGAATGGATATGATGCTTTTATAATAGAATTACTTATGTATTATTTATTTTAACATTTGAAATATTTACATTTCTCCAAAACTTTTTATTATTAGTGTGTTGAGCCAGGGAGATTCAGGTACTCCAGTGAGTGCATAGAGGTCAGAGGAGAACATTGGAGTCGGTTCTTACCCACCTTTAAGTGGGTCATTGGACTTGTGTGCCTGGGGCTTTTTTGCTGGCCCTACTTTCTTTAAGACATTTTTTACCCCCATAATTCTTGCCAGATTGTCTCTAGGTCACAAAAATCTGTCTTTGGACACAGTTGCACTTGCTGTCTTTTTAGTTCAGGCCCTCTCACTGCCTCCACTGGTGAGGCCTTGCTGTTGTTTGAGTGGCTGCCCAGCTCATTCGGTTGCTATTCTCTGTCATGGAACCCAAAGGATTGATGGGCTTTATCTGTCGCTTCAGGAAGTATGACCTGTTCAGTCCATAGTGTTTGGTTCAAGATCTCTATCTGTATATGTGACTAGGTGGAACATTTATTTCATGCATGTCATTTCTTTTTTGTTTGGGTTTTGGATTTGGAGAGGGCCTCATGTAGCCTAGGCTGACTTAAAATTCATTGGGTAAGGATGACTGTGAACCCCTGGTCTTCCTGCCTCTACCTCTCATGTGCAAGGATTATAGGCACATGACCTGCTTGATGTATTTAACTTTTATATAGTGTCTAGTGAGCATAAAGAAATTGCTTAAAAGAAGCTATACATTTCTCTGTCTTGTGTATAAACTATTCTGTTGCATGTCATGGATGTATAGAGAATATTAGAGCACCTTTGTAAGATGGAGACAGAATATTAGGAATTTCCAGCCCTTTGTCAGAGACCACTTTGGTGGTCTAAAGAAGCCTATAAATACTATCTTAGTATAATATTTAATATATTTAAAGTATTTAATTAATAAAATATTTTAGACTACAGAGAAACCAATTATATATCAAACAACTAAGATATGAAACTGGAGACCATTTTAATATTTGTTCAAAGAAATCCCAAAATGCCATTCAGTGAAAAGCTGTGACAACAGGCTAGTGATGTGTAAGCTGTGGATGAATTCACCGAAGACAGAAAAGGAGGATTTCAGAAAAGAAAGGCAGAAGCTACAGTGCACTCCAGGCCATAACACTCCAAAAAATGTTGGTCAGAGGATGTCAACTTGTGACTGCTATTAGGACCTTTTTCACTTGGACCCCTGGACAGACTGATGTCCCATTTCCCTGTGCCCTCAGAACAAGACTCAAGGAGAAGAACCCAACCAAGTGACAACCCCCTTTTAACAGAAGCAGCTCAATCTTAGTCATCACCCATTCCCCGGTAGATTGTGTCTCAGGTCCTTGGAGTTTGGAGGGGAAATGATAGGGTTAAAACTAATGCTAGGGAAATAGAAACAAGAGTGCTTACAGGTGGGATATGAGACAGCCAAAGGAACCAAGTAAGAGGAAGCAGAGAGTTCTGAGAAAAACAAAGCTGGTCTCAGCAGGTTCCATTGGGCTCCTGTGGGGCCCCGTCCTGAAGAGCATAGTAAGGCACCATTGCTCTTTCCCTTGCAAGCTCAACTGTATAGTAATTACACTTTTATATGTGGTCCTGCATCTAATGCATCTAATTGTAACACTGAATTGTGGTTAAGGATGATGTCTGTAAAAGCTTTCACCTGTTCCAAGAAAGACCACCCACAGGGTAGGCAAGATAAAGACAGATGGTAGACCAAGACGATAGGCCCAGGTCCCAGGCGTGGCACTTGACCTTTTGTCTTGGCTTATTCTAAAAATACACTTTGCTTGTTCTAAAACAAGACCCCACAAAACAACCCAGGAACCCTAAAATGCTTTAAAACAAATTTATCAGATTGTTCTTTGTTGATGTATACAAATAAGACAGCAGACCCATGCTAATGTGGTCTGCTGAGAAGACTCTGATTCCTGAGAGCGGTCAGAGCACCACTCCTGTTCGGTCACAAGAGTTGGGTGCATGCATTCATAGCCTTCAGAGAGGTACAGTGCATTTCAACTGGAGGTTCAAAACCAAGGTGTATTTTTACTCCTGTTGCTCTTGTGGACTCTGACCCTTCTGTCTCCACATTCCTTATTAAGGAATCTTGGGCTGGGCGGTGGTGGCGCGTGCCTTTAATCCCAGCACTTGGGAGGCAGAGCCAGGTGGATCTCTGTGAGTTCAAGGCCAGCCTGGTCTACAGAGTGAGATCCAGGACAGGCACCAAAACTACACAGAGAAACCCTGTAGCAGGAATCTTAAAGAGTCTTATTAATAAAATCAAACCTGGGCCAAGTATTGGGGTGAACACTGGAAGATCAGAGAGACAGAACAAGCAGCCTCACCTGGCCAACTTCTTCAGCTGGTCCTGTTTCCTCAGACAGGAAGCCTCTGAGTCCTCATCTGGAATGAATCTCAGCTGAACTGCTGCTAGAAGCCTGAAAGCTTAACCAGGCCAAATGCTTCTAGTTCCTGGTCCTCACGCCTTATATATCTTTCTGCCAGCTACTACCACTCCCTGGGATTAAAGGCTCTCTTTCTGGGATTAAAGGCATGAGTCACCATGCTTGGCTGTATCCTTGAACACATGGATTTTTGCCTAGCTCTGCCTCCCAAGTGCTGGGATTAAAGGCGTGTGCTACCACTGCCTATCCTCTATGTTTAATATTGTGATTGTTCTGTCTCTAACCCCAGATAAGTTTATTAGGGTGCACAATATTTCGGGGAACACAATACCACCACAAAACCCTGTCTCAAAAAACCAAAAACCAAACAGATAAACAAAAAGAAACCTTGAGGAACCAGGTGGTGGTGGCACATGCCTTTAACCCCAGCACTTAGGAGCCAGAGCCAGGTGGATCTTTGTGAGTTTGAGGTCAGCCTGATCTACAGAATGAGTTCCAGGACAGC